GTCATTTGGCCTGGTGGCAGACACCTTTGCCCACTGAGCTGTCTCACCAGTCCGATTAACAACTTTTTTTAAAAAAAATTACTTACTAAGTATACAGTAGTCTGCCTGCATATGTCCCTACAGGCCAGAAGAGGATACCATATCTCATTACAGATGGTTGTGAGCCACCATGTGGTTGCTGGGAATTGAACTCTGGACCTTTGGAAATGGAGCCAGTGCTCTTAACCTCTGAGCCATTTCTCCAGCCCCACAACTTTTTTTTAACTTAAGATTTTATTTATTTATTATGTATACAGTGTTCTGCATGGCATGTATGCTTACATATGTGGTCTGCCTGCAAAAGAGGGCATCAGATCTCATTACAGGTGGTTGTGAGCCACCTTGTAGTTGCTGGGAATTGAACTCAGGACCTCTGGAAGAACAGGCATTGCTCTCAACCTCTAAACCATCTCTCCAGTCCACTGATAACTTTTAATTGTATCTATTTTCTTTCTTTTAAAAAGTTTAGAATTTTTAAAAAGTTTGTGAATGGATGTTCTGCCTACATGTGTGTCTGTGTGCCGTGTAGTGTCTGAGGACATCCAAAGAGGGCGTCATAGTCCCTGGAACTGGTGTTACATACGGAAGGTAGTGCACTGCAGTGGTGCCCTGGGACTTAGCACTGCAGAGCCATCTCTCCAGCCCTGTGCTTACTTTATGACAACTCAGTCTCAATATAAATAAAATTAACTGTAAAAAAGGAATCTCCTCTCCTTTCCTCTTCCCTTTCCTCTCTTGTTCCTCCATTTTCCCTCTCTCCCCTTCCTCCATCCTCTTCTCTCCCCTTTCCTTCCCCGTTGCTCTCCTCTCCTTTCCTCTCTTCTAAAAGTCTTCAAGTTGTAGCACAGGCACTAAAACGTTGTGTTTGACCACGCGCACGCCTTTAATCCCAGCCCTTGGGAGGCGGAGGCAGGCGGATCTGAGTTTGCGGCCAGCCAGGTCTGTGTGGCAGTGCTCTTCTAGGCCATTCAGGGCTACATAATGAGACCCTGTCTTAAAAACAAACAAAAAATGTGCTTGTTTGCTTGTAAGTCATGTAATTTTGACATTTTTGAAAGACCACTAAAGACCATTTCCTGTTGAAGGACAAAAGTGATGAAGCTTTTCCAGCACAGGGTTTCTCAGCTTGGCGCTGCTGGCATTTCAGACAGGACAATTCTTTCTTGTGCACTGCAGGACATTTAGTTTCCCTGACTCCTGCCCACTAAAATACCAGTGTTGCCTACCCCACACCCCCAACATTGTCATAAAAACCCTTCCTTGACAAGATGCCCAGCCTCCCACAGGCAGAGATTTTCACATGCCTCTCTATCTGAGAAACAGTGAGACTCTACCTGTAGTAGTATTTGTATGAAGCAGGTCAAGCATTACCAATTTTCATGTTTTGTGTGAGCATTTGCTCAGTGAAGAATGCTTTTCTAGCATGTACAAGTTCCTCAAGGCCAGCCTGGTCTACAAGAGCTAGTTCCAGGACAGGCTCCAAAGCTACAGAAGAACCCTGTCTTGAAAAAAAACAAAACACAAAGGCTCTAGGTTCCATCCCTAGCAATAAAAATAAAATCCAAGTTGTTACAAATATAAAATTACTCATACTTATCCATTGAAAAAGGTGTCTACATAGTGCTAAAATTCATGTTTTTCTTCCTTTTTTATTTATTTATTTTTGATTTTTAGAAACAGAGTTTCTCTGTGTAGCCCTGGCTGTCCTGGAACTCACTTTGTAGGCCAGGCTGGCATCAAATTCATAGAGGTCCGCCTGCCTCTGCCTCTGCCTCCCGAGTACTGGGATTAAAGGTGTACACCACCACCACTGCCCGGCACTTCTTTTTTTCTTAAATAAGGTCTCATGTAACTCAGGATGCCCTCAAATTCACTATGTAACCAAGGATTCCTTGAATTTGTGATCCTCCTGCCTCCACTTCCTGGGTTCTGGGACTGCAGGTTGTGTGCCACCACATCTGACGGTGTCAAGGGTTGAACCTAGGACTTTGTGAATGCTATGTAAACACTACTAACTGGGCCATAACCAGGCCCCAAAATGCACGGTTGTTTTTGTTTGTATTTTGGGACAGAGTTTCTCTGTGTAACACTCCTAGCTGTCCTGGAACTAGCTCTTGTAGACTAGGCTGGCATCTGCCTCCCGAGTGCTGGGATTAAAGGCGTGCGCCACCACTGCCCAGCAAAATGTTTATTTTTCTATTGTATCTTTTGGTAAGTGTAAGATATTTTAGTGGTCTGTTCCTCTAAAAACTTAAATTTTGAGGGGTACTATAATTATTGAAAGGTAATATTCCAGAGCTGGTAGATGGTTCAGTCGTTAAGAGCACTGATTGCTCTTGTAGAAGACCTGGGTTCAGTTCCCAGCACCTGCATGGCAGTTCACAACCATCTGCTTCTAGTTCCATGGGATACGATGCTTCTTCTGGCCTCTGATGGCATCAGGCACTCATGTAGGCAAATGACTCATGAATTAAAAATAAATGCACACTTTTAAAAAGGTGATGTTCCATACATGAGACCAAGACGAGTAATCCAGAGACAGAAAACATTTTAGTCTCACACATTTCAAATAGTATATTTTCTGATTTTAAAACAAATCATTTTCAGATTTAAAAACTCAAGAGTGGCAGCTGGGCATGGTGGCACATGTCTAGACACAGAGGTGGGCAAATTTCTGTGAGTTCAAGATCAACCTGGTCTACTGTAATTGTAAAAATAAAGCGCTGCACAGTTCCCCGAGGGGTGGCAGCAGACAGCAGCTCCCAGGAGGGAGCCACACAGCAGGTGAGACGCTTTGGCAGATCAGCAGGTCCCATGAAGAGCTATGGCAGGTGAGAGACAAAGATGGATAGTCACTCCATGCAGAGAGGTTGGTTATTTAGTGGGTTATGGAAGGGAAGGGGTAGGGAAATGAGGAAGAGAGAGGCAGAGAGAGAGGAACAGAGAGGTGTGGGGGAGAAGAGAAAAGCTACCCCTTAGGGAGAGAGGAAAGGAAGAGCTTTGCAGGGGGATTTGGGAGGAAGTGGGGAGGCTTGTCTCTTGAAGGGACAGGACAGACCATTACATCTACAAAGTGAATTCCAGGACTATCAGGACTGTTAAACGGAGAAACCCTGTCTTGAAAAAACAAAAACAAGCAAAAAACTAACAAAAACATCTCAGTGTGTGGAAGGATTAGACTCCAAGTTGTCCCTTGACCTCCACAAGCTCACTATGGCTCAAATACCTGCTTCTCCTAATTAATAAATCATATTTTAAAACAAAACAACCTTCCACCCAAACCCAGCGTGTAGTTTTATTTAATTTAATTTTTTAAAATCAGGATCTCACTATGTCTTCTTGGATGTCTTAGAACTCACAATGTAGATCAGGCTGGTCTCAAATGCAAGTGGATCTCTTCCTGCTTCTGTTTCTTGAGTGCTGGATTAAAGATACATGTGATGTGCCTGGCAACTTTGAGTATTTCGTTTATTATTTTGTGTGCATCTATGTGTGTGGTAGTGTATGTCTCAAGGCTGCTCTTAGGTAGAGGTCAGAGAACAGCTTGCAGGAGTTGGTTCTCTCCTACCACCTCGTGAGTCATAAGAGATGGGATTCAGGTTGTCAGCAGGTGCCATTATTCCCTCTGCTGAGCCTTTCACCGGCCTTTGTGTTAGGTAGGGTTGTGTGCTACTTCATGCTGTTCCTGCCTTTTATAGATAGTAAACATTTGTCAGAAAGCCAGGTGTGATAGTGCATGCCTTTATCCCAGTACTTGGGAGGCAGAGACTGGTTTCTGAGTTCAAGGCCAGCCTGGTATATGGAGCAAGTTCCAGGACAGCCAGAGCTACACAGAGAAACCCTTTTCTGAGAAAACAAGAACCGAACCAAACCAAAACAACAGTAAAAAGAGACGGAGGAACTGAAGAGAAGGGTCATTAGTTAGAACACTTACTGCTCTTACAGAGGACCCGACCTTGACTCACAGCACCCAGGGATTGCAGCACACAACTGCCTGTAACTCTGGCTCCAGGGGAATTCATGCCTACACTCACGTGCACAGACACATGTGCACATATAACTTCACAATGGACATGTACACTCCTACACCCCTCACAAATGTACATACATGTCATGCACATTTATATAATAACAATTAAAATGTAGTTATTTAGTGGCTGGCCATGAGGACAGAAGCCACAGGTTGGGCATATTCCTTTCTCAGAATTTCTAAAATGTATTAATGGAGTCCTTACTCACATGGAGGGAACTGTACGTTCTCCCATTCATGTTAGCTGCCTGGTGACTAATGCTACTTTAGCATATAAGAGAATCTCAAAACTAAATATGTTTCCTATACATTCTTTTCTACTTTAGACCTATGACCTGTGTAAGTTAAACTCTTTTAAAAGTTCCCATAGTGCTTTTGCGACGGTTAGTGTGGGATAGAAATACTCTTTGGACTGAAAACTGGAGTGGACCAGCAGAATAGTCTGAGAATCTGCAAGCTTGGCTTGCGTATTGGTTTGCTATTTATTCGCTGGAGAGCCTTGTGTTTTCTTGGCCCACACATGCCAATTAACTCATGTTAGCAATAGACTTAAGAAAAAGAAAAAAAGATTGAAAACTTTTTTTTTTTAAAGTTTTAGTCCAGGGCTTGAGGGGTGAATACTTTTAATCCCGATATTTAGGAGGCAAAGACAGGGGTATCTCTGTGAGTTGGAGGGCATCCTGGTCTACATAGAGACACCCTGTCTCAAATAATGAAAAACAAAACAAATTTAGACTGTAAGAAAATACAATACTAAGAAAAAGTATTTGTCAGATACCAAAGAAACCTGGGACCCTGAGAGTCTCATCATAAATAATGATTTTATTTTAAAATTAAATTTATTCTTTTCGAGACAGATTCTTGTATTATTTGTATTGCACTATTTTGAACTTTTAAAAATATGTATGTTGGACCCGCCCTTACCAAAGCCATGGAGGCAGTTCCCCCACTCTCCAAAGCTGAGTATCTGAAGTTACTTGTCTGGGGCAGATGCCGACCAGGAAGGAGGTTCAGAGTCCCTTCGGAAGAGGTACAAAAAAGGACCAAAGCTGGGACGCACCGCTGGCAAGGGATTGCAGATTGTTGATGATGATGTGGGCTGGGCAGCTATCTCTACCGCTAAGCCAGAAAAGGAGGAGGAAGAGGATGGAGATTTGCCTGTGGTGGCTGAGTTTGTTGATGAGCTTCTAGAAGAGGTAAAGCAGATGGAGGCCTTCCGTTCCAGTGCCAAATGGAAGCTCCTGGGAGACCACAGTGGAGATAGACATTTCCATCATGATGAATGAGATCCATCTTCTCCTAGGAGGGTTCGTCATTTAGGATGCCAAGACAGGCATATCTCTGTGAGTTGGAGGGCATCCTGCTCTTCATGGACCAGGCCCTGACTGGTCCTAGGAGGGTTCATCATGACACCCCAGATCCATCTCCTCCCAGGAGGGCCTGTCTCTCTCCTCCTCAAAGGAGTCCCCATTCCGGAAAGAAGACTGTATTTCGAGACAAGTCTGGTCAGAAGAGGAATTTGAAGCTGGAATGCCTGGAGCAAAGAAGAAAAGCAGAGAAGGACTCAGAGCGAGATGAGCTATATGCCCAGGGCAAAGGGCTTGCTCAGAGCCGGCAACAGCAGCAGAATGTAGAGGATGCCATGAAGGAGATGCAGAAGCCTCTGGCCCGCTATATCGATGATGAAGATCTGGATCGGATGCTGAGAGAACAAGAAAGAGAGGGGGACCCGATGGCCGACTTCATTAAGAAGAATAAGGCTAAGGAGAACAAGCACAAGAAAGCGAGACCTCGCTATAATGGTCCTGCACCTCCTCCCAATAGATTCAGTATCTGGCCTGGCTACCGCTGGGATGGAGTGGACAGATCCAATCGCTTTGCCAGGCTCGCCAGCAAGAAGGCTGTGGAGAAGCTTGCCTACAAGTGGAGTGTGGAGAACATGTAGCTTCTCCTAGGCTGTGCGGTGCTGTGGTGGTGGTGGCACAGGACAGCCCGACATCCAGCTCTAATGCTTGTCTTGCTAGACACAGACCAGCAACTCGCGGACAGCCTACCCTTGGCTGTGTCCGTATTGTCTGTTGACTGACAGCGACTTCTCTATCCCAGGGTTTGTTCTTTGCCAGTGCTTTCTTTCTTATTTTAAAAATAAACACATATTTATTATTTGTAAAAATAAAATAAAATAATAACTAAATAAAATTTGTATGTCTAAGATGTGCATGGTAGCGCTTGCCTTTAATCCCAGCACTGAGGAAGCAGAGGCAGGTGTATCTCTGTGAGTTCGAGGCCAGCCTGGTCTATAATTTCAATTCCAGGACAGCCAAGGCTGTGCAGAGAAACCTAGGCTCCCTAGGGACTATCTTTGCAGAGGATCTGTGTGTATCCTTTGTGGCTGAACGTGAGAAAAGAGCTTCTCGGTCAACTATTTTCCAGCATGGTACCCCGATAGCTGTGTTCTCAGATACTCTCATATGGAATTTGCTCTGTTATACCTTGGTGCTCTCAGTGGGTGGTGTCTTGTTTCCTGTTGTGCTAGTTCAAAGTCTAAAGTGTCTCCATAATGATGCTAGCCTTTAACTTACAGTTGCTTTGTCTCCACCTGCCCATTCTCATGTGAACTGGGTTCAGGTCCCTTTCCTTACTAAGATGCACAGTCTGTCCATAACTTTGACAGGGTTCACACCCTATTTTGTTTTGTTTTGATTTTTTTGCTAATATGTACATTTTTCTCATCTTTTCTCTCTCTCTCTCTCTCTCTCTCTCTCTCTCTCTCTCTCTCTCTCGGTAAATACTGTAAGCAATAACCATGGCATAGCTACTTTTTTGTATTGTCTTGAAATTTCCTCCTTGAACTTAGCCCTCCTCCCCTCCCCTCCTTTTTTCCCCCTTGAAACAGGGTTTCTCAATGTAGTCCTGGATGTCCTGGAACTCACTTATAGACCAGACTGGCCTCAAACTCACAAAGATCCTCCTGCCTCTTCCTTCCAAGTGCTGGGATTAAAGGCGTGCACTACCACCACTCACCATTAGCCCATTGAATTTTAAATTCAGTCTCACTTCAGCTTTCAGGATATGATCAAAAGCAAGAACCAGATTCTTTGCCAGAATAGAATGTGAATGGCCTCTAGGTCAATACTCAGCATGGTCCTTCTCTCTGAATCCTCACAGAGAGGAAGGGAAGAGGAAGAGAAAGAGAGACAAACAGAAGAGAGAAACAGAGAAAAGAGAGAGAGGAGAGAGTGAGAAAGAGAAAAAGAGAAGAGAGAGGAGAAAATAGAGAAAGAAAATGAAAGAAACCCAGGCTGATCTCAGACTTCAGATTTTCCTGCCTCAGCCTCTGGAGTGCTGAAAAAATATCTGTGTTCCACCACACCCAGCTCAAACATTTTTCAAGAGGGAAGAGAAAAGTTTTGGGGTTTGTTTTCAGTAACACAGTGTCTTAGGGTTTCCATTGCTTTCAGCGAAATGCCAGGAGCAAAAACCAAGTTGGGGCAGAATGGATTTTCAGCTTACATTTCCACATTGCTTTGTTCATCATGAAAAGAAGCCAGGATGGGAAGGAACTCGAGCAGGTCAGGAACCTGGAGGTAGAAGCTGAGGACGAGGCCATGGAGGAGTGCTGTGTACTGGTTTGCTCCTTATGGCTTACCCAACCTCCTTTCTTATAAAACCCAGGACAACCAGCTCATGGATGGAGCCACGCACAATGGGCTGGACCCACCCCCATCAATAACTAGTTAAGAAAATGCCTTACAGCTGGATCTTATGGAGGCTTCTTCTCAGTTAAGGTTCCCTCCTTTCAGATAACTGTGGTTTGTGTATCAGGTTGATATACGACTAGCCAGTACACACAATTAGCCAGTTATAGGGGCACTATTCATAATCCCAGCACTAAAGAGGCTAAGAAAATGTGGGCCATGTATTCAAGGTTAGCCTGAGCTACGTAGCAAGCATGTCACAAACAGACAAACAAAACAAGGCCTGCCTCAGTTGGGCAGGCATGGGCCACGTGAGATCTGTCTTCAAAATTAATAACGTAAAAAAGAGCCAGGTGTGTTTTGCATGCATGCTTGTAATCTAAACTCTTAGGAGGTAGAGGCAAGAGGTTCAGAATTTCAAGGCCAGTGCCAGAGCACGTTTGATGCCAGTCCAGTAGTACAGGAGAAGCTGTTTTAAGGGGGTAAAAAAGGAAATATATACAGTATATTCTATATTTAACATAGTAATAAGTCTTATGGTCTTCAAAGAATTCAAGTTCAAATTCTTGCTCCCTAACTTGTAGTTATATGAACCAAACTATATTTAACCTTGTTACATCTCCAGTCCTCATCTGTGAAGTAGGAACAGAAACGGTGCCTATATTATACTATACACACAGCATATAGCTATTAGTTAACTTAAGTCATACGATTATTGATTAGACAAACATTAATCATTCCATTCTTGTTACAACAATTGCCTTTATTTTATAGTGTTTATAGTGAATGTCTAGAAGCATGAAAGCAAGAAAGACACTGTGATGCTTAATTTTAATTGCCAAACTCGAATGGGTCATAAAATGCCCAGAGCATCAGGGGAGCACACTTTTGGGTGTGTGTAAATCTTCCAGAGCAGATTAACTGGTGGGAAGGAACACTGACTGGCCCTGAATATAGGCGGTACTGACATGTGAACGAGCAGCCTCGCGCGTTCCCGCCACTGTGGAACCACTGGGCACCAAGCCTTCCTGTGATGGTGGACAGTGTCCCCTCGAGTGTAGTGCTTAAAAAGAGTTATTTCCATTGTCTCTGATGGTTCAGCAGTGAAGTGAGCTTATTCTACAGAGGACCCAGCTTCATTTCCCAGCGTGCATGTGACCGCTTACAGCCATTGTTATGCCCGAGTTTATTATCCCCCAAAAGGAAACTGGATTCTGATGTAAAGCACAAGAGGGTTTTTTATTTTTTATTTATTTATTTTTAATTAATTAATTAATTTATTAAAGATTTCTGTCTCTTCCCCACCGCC